AAAGCGCCTTTTATGTTGCAGATAAGTTGTAATAAAAAATTTAGATTTATATAACGAATATAAAAATAATCTTCTGCCAACTATGATTTCTCATTTATTTTGTCAAGATGGAAGATCAACGTTGGCCGAGGATTTAAAAATTTAGAAAACGGACCTATATTTTAATTTCAAGCATGTTTTCTAAATAACTTTTTGACGTACATGTTACCGAAAGGATAATTTCAGGACAAAATAAATGAAAACTCAAAGTTGGTCGAGGAATTTCAAATTTGGTATATGGACCTAGACAGTGATTCTTAATAATTTTTTCCCCATAACTTTTGGTCATATCTGCAACATAAAATAGGTTTTCTGAAAATGTTTAGGATGTCTTTGATTTCTCAAAACTGAAATTATGTTGAAAATGAATGTTTGGCCAAGCACAGGTGGACCCAAAATAAAAAGATTTAAATCATGAATTTTGTACCATTTTCAAAAGTCACCTATCCTAAGACATACGGTATAATATAGATTTACTTTAATTACAAGAATTACAATTTATATATTTGTTTCACAAACACAACATAATATGGCAAAATTTTTCTTAAATCTATCATTTTTGATATAATATATTTAAAATTTGGACAACAGGGTATTAAGGCCAGTATAAACCAGTTTATTCAAACACATTTAAAATTTTCGAAGTTGGAATTACATTTAATAGTGCATTTAAGTCGATATTTCAACGTTTAACATTTGCCAGTTGGGTTTTTTTTTGGAAGGTAAAAATAAAAGACGATAAGGATTTGACAAAAATTTCTGAAACCTACCAATTTGTATAATAATTTGTCTTCTATTGAACAGTGGTGTACCATTTAATTTTATAATGTCTAACAATTGTGGTAAATGTTTTAAAAATATCGATAACAATAAAGACTTTTAAATATGTGATTGCTGCAGAACTGCATTTCACAATATAATGAACTGCTATGTTATAACTTCAACTGAAGTTCGAGCAGTTCAATTACAAAAACAAAGAGTGGTCATTTACTTTTATGAGGAATGCAGAGGAATTTTTAAGTAAGTTCCGTTATTATTAAAAAAATATCTTCTCTTGAAAATGAAATGCAAAACTTACAAACTGAAATGCCAGAAGTCAAGCTAAAATTAGATTCAATGAAAAATAATGCAATAGAACAATCAGTTGAAAGCTTAAAAGATGAGGTGAAAGCTATACAAAGTAAAATATCTACTCAAACAGCATCTACTAACAGTTCAGTTGATACGAAAGACATATTATCTGAAATGGCCGACAGAGAAAAAAGAAAAAATAATTTAATAATTTTCAAACTCCCAGAATCGAATCAAGACAAATATAATGCAGAAGAAATTTTAGGCTTCCTTAATAATGATGTTCCTACGGGGTCTATAAAAGTATTTAGGCTTGGTCATAATAATTATGAAAATCGCTTAAGACCTTTGAGAATAACATTGCAATCGCACAATGATGTCTCTAAAGTAATGAGTCATGCTCGAAACATTAAAAACAATGATAACTTTAAGAATGGACGCGGGCCGCTGTCTTCTGTTGGATCTGGAGTGGTCGTTTCAGGGGATCCTACGGCGCAGCAACTACCACCTTGCAGCGAAAATGGAATGCTCTGCCAGGTTTTTCAGAAGTCAGTGGACGGCTCAGGTTCCTCCGGGTTGCGTGTCGGTACCTGGTAGACAAATCACCTCCTTCGGGAGTTTCATCGGGTTGTTTATAGGGTAATTTTAGTTAGACTATCCTATTATTGGGAATTCGAGGCCTAGAAGAGGGACTTGGTTACATTGGGTGCAGCTATAGTTGGTGTCTCTTGGTCGTATGGGACCGAGGTTCTTAGGACGGGAGGACATTCACATGGGGGGTTGTGTTCGGTGGCGGTAGGGCCACGGCCGACTATAGCTCCGTCAATTGAGGCGCACTGGACATGGCTACTATGTTCCTATCTACCTCCTCTGAGCTATAGAGACCAGCGCATTTCTGCAGTAGTGCAGTTATGAACACCCCCGCACTGGCAACAGGAGTGTCATTGTTCCGACGTTAGGTCGTTTTAGGTCGTGAACCTTCTTCCATGCTAGTTAAGGGTAGTTTAGTGCAATCCCTATGCAGAGACGTGCTTTCATACAATTGCAATTCCTCATCAGTCTCAATAAGAAGGACCTCTATTTCCAATTCTCAATAATTTTGCTCTTTGTGAAGTATGTCAATGTCGTCTTAGAAGATACATTTTCCGCTTGCATCGAGTCTATGAATAATCACAATAAAGTAAAAAAGACATTTATTTCCATTTAATATCAGAATGTCAGATGACTTTGGACAAAAGCAAATCAACTTCGCTTGGGTTACAAATTCGTGTAGCTATTAAATTGTAATTTTAACTGAAACTTGGCTAAATGAAAATTTCGTCAATTCTGAGTTTTCCGACGTGATAGGTTACACAATCAGCTTGACTGTGAAGATTGCAATGGAGTACTTGTTGCAGTTCTATCAACTATACATGCTTTTTTATTTTCCATACTTTAGATAGCGCCTAACGATGATATTTAAGTTCATACCAATAATGAAAATTACTGAGGGCCTTCCTATGGGGCCTCAGTATTGCATTCGTGCAGACGAAACAATTTTCTGACCCCCATTTTTTAATACTTTTTTTCATGTTTCTGATCATTCTGAATCCGAAAACAAAAAAAAAATTTTTTCGTCTGGTCGTCTGTATGTATGTATGTATGCCAGCACGATAACTCTAGAACAAAAGTTCTGATTGACTTGCAATTATGATTTTCTTGAATACATACTTCTAACTTAGAACCCTATTGATCTTCAGAAATTTCGGTTTGTCCTAACTACTTTAATAACAATTTTTTATTAAAATCCGCCCATGCAATCCTCATGTGAACAATTTTAGGAATTTCAATTATTTCTAATGTCAAAATTCCTAACATTCTTCACATTCCATAAATTGCAAACATTCTCTAACGACCTGTCAAACAACAGCTGTTGATAGTAAAGGTGAAATTTCTAAGGCGGGTTGCGACCTTCATACTTGCAACCATATAGCCATTTTGGAGGCTCTTTTCATTCAAAATTAGTCGCCAAGTCTGCCAATTTATGAAAAATATATAAGCAGTTCCTTAAAAATTACTTTTTATGGTGGTGCTATTAAGTGTACTACTATTTCGCCCCTAGCCACAAAAACACCATTAAATTTCTCTGTTGTAACCCCATAGAATAGTTAACCGGCCATTTTATTTGGCAAAAATCAAAATAATGCTTTACTGTGCCTGTCACGTATCAAGATGTCAACTGTGATATGTGAATGGCTCTTAAATGTCAAATTATTTAAAAATTTATACTTCATTTGATATTTATTGCAAATAATAGATATCTTAATTTAGGCTTTCCATAAATAAAAGTACAGCAAGACAGATAATACAATGTTCTTATACAAACACATTTTTATTATATAAAAGAGAGGTAGGATATAATGCCCATTTCAAATTTGAATCATTTATGATACAAAGGTATTTTGTTGTGTTTTTCATTTTAATTATAAAGTTGTCATTTATTTGTATGTTGAAAGAAGGCCTTTGTAAATTACATTGCTCTCTATGGATCTACTTTAACACAAAAATAGTTTTGTGGCTATTAGTTGCTATAACCTATCTTCACAAAACTATTAATAATTTAAACATAGTAAGTTGTATTAATATAACATCAAGTAAGTTTTTAAACAAGTAATTTTTTAAAATAAAGTACATGATCTCAAAACAAATAATCTATAATAAATGCGGATAAAATAACAATAAATTAAGTGACATACTTAAAAAGGGCAGGTTTAAAGAGTACTTTCACAAGGAAGTATATCCGTTCTGTTTATTTATCAAGTATTGTTTGAGGTTACTTTTGAATATATTTATTGTTTTTTTTTTTAATTTCTGTAGGCAGTCTATTTAATTTTTTAAACCTTTAATAAAAATTATTGTATTTTGGGAACTTTTAGTGATGGCTTACCGTACATGAAAGTCAGATTGGTTTCTTGTATTATAGTTGTGATATTGCGAATTATATTGAGTTTTTTCTAATAGATCTGATGCGATGGTACTATGTCATTTTTATTTTATAAATAAATATCAGTCATGTACTAAACATAATTCTGAAGTGAAAGCCAATTTATTTCTTTTAACATAGTTGCAATACTCATCATTATGTCCTTTATTAATATAATATAAATAGGCGAAATAAGAAGCCCAAATATTTTACATGAGCAGGCTTAAGAGGTAAATTGGATAAATTGTTTTTAAACCCTAATCAAAAGGCGATATAGAATGGTTTTAAAAATCAAGGCTTGTGAAAATCATCACACGGTTTAACCTAAGTAATGCGAATGCTTCACAAACCAAAAAATTCAACGTGCTAATACTGCTATTATCTTTCTATATTTCGTTCCAAGTTAAATAATGTCTCGTTTTTGTTACGCTACGAGTTTACCTTTGTGTGCCTTAGTTCGATAAGGTGGGAACCACCATTTTAGCGTCTCTCGAATTGTAAATTTATTTTGGGTAATGTTTACTTTTCCCCAGTTTCAAACTCTAAAGTGTATCAATCCTTCTGCGATACCTGTAAAAATTTAAAAAAATACTAAGTTTATTATATGGAGACTTTAATCTTCCAGATATTCAGTTGCATTTGGGTAATAATGTGCTTGTCTCCAATCAAGTTACGATGCCGTCGGCTACAGTTCTGGTTAAATCGATGTTTTTTTCTAGTTTAAGCAATTAAATTCCAACAGTAACAGCCGTGGAGGATTTCCTGGACGTAATTTTCGTAAACGATTTAAATGACATTTTTGTGACATAAACTTAAGTGCATTTATTATCTTTAGATTCCTACCACCACCCTGGTTTAGAAACAATTTTTACCGACTTCAAAAAGGAGGAGGTTCTTAATTCCAGGAGGTTCTTACTTCCAAATCAAGATGGCGAGCGACACAGACCTGCCTGCTGATCGCTCTGACCAAACAGGCGAAAAATTATGTGATATATGTCTAAGTAGTATTAGAAAAAGTTGTAAAAAATGTGTTAACAATAAATGTAGTGTAAGGTTACATACCAAGTGCTTCGAACAAGTAGCGAAACTGTTTTTAACAACAATAAGAGATTGGAAATGTAAGTCATGTTCAGATTTTGATAACACTAATACACTAGATGATCTCACTTCACTCAAATACCAAGTATCTTACTAAAAACGTGAAAACGAACTTTTAATAGATTTAAACACTGAACTTAAACAAAATAATGAGCTCCTAAAACAAAACATTTTCGAACTGTCTGATAAAATTGCTACTCAAAACAATTCATTTTTACCAATACATGCTGGTACCACTTCTACTGTTTCTTATAGTAATGTTTATCAAAAAACGATGAATAATAAAGTAACTCCGTTTAGTCTGGTGATAAAAAGTACAAATTAGGAAAATTCCAATATAGATATTCTTAGCGATATCCAGAGGCGTGTCAAACTTGCTGATTTAAATGTTTGCATTAATAGCACTAAACAGATAAAAAATGGTGTTGTACTAAATTGTGAGGATGAGTTATTGCTAGAGAAGTTAAAGACGTCAATTCAAAAAAAAAGTTGGATCTTCATATAACATAAGTGAGTCTCAGAAATATAATCCCCGATTAATCATAAAACATATGCAAGTAGATAGTTTGGAGTCGCATGAGGATATTATTGAAAATATTTTTTCTATGAATCAATTGGAACCATTTACTACTGAAGATCTAAAAATAGTTACGATTTTGAAATATTCCCATAGCAAATCCCAAGATGTTATTATAGAAGTATGTGCTAAGCTGCGAAAACAAATTCTGGAGAGATCGTACCTGTATCTGGGGTGGAAACGTTGTTCAGTCAGTGATTATATAAGAGTAATTAGATGCTATCAGTGTTCAGGTATAGGCCGTATCTCCAAAATCTGTAAACATCAAAAAGTATGTCCTCATTGCTCGGAAGAGCATTCTATAAATGAATGTGGATCAAATTTTAGAAAATGTATAAACTGTGTAAACTATATTATCAAACATAAAACCAGACATGACGTTAACCATAGTACCAAAGAGACAAATAATTGTTGGGTCCTTCAAAATCATATAAATAATTTAAAATCTAATATAATTTATTAATAACAAAACTAAATACAGTAATATTAAAATAGGTAATATCAATGTTAGGTCTTTATTGTCTGGTTTTAGTGACCTTTGCTCAATTATATATGATAATAACTTTGATGTAGTTGCAGTATCAGAAACGTGGTTATCCGCGGATATACCACTGTCATTTATAAAAATTAATGGTTACAAGTTTTTCCGTCATGATCGGACTGGTCGTAGAGGTGGAGTTGGTATATTTGTAAAAAATCAATTTACTTGCCAGTATGTTTCATCGGATGCTAATTCGGACTTAGAGCAATTATGGATAAAAACTAAGATTAATAATTCATATTATGCTGTTTGTGCTTTTTATCGTCCTCCAAAAGGCTCTATTCCCGCGTTTGTTGATTTGATCGAAAACGCGCTGACATCAGTTGTACCAGAATATCAAAATATGTTTGTTCTTGGTGATGTTAATATTGATCTCTTGAATCCAAATAACGACATAAATAGTTGCCTCTCCCCCTATGGATTAAAACAGATGATTTCAGAACCTACTAGAATAACCGAAACATCAGCGACCTTGATTGACCCTATTTTTGTTGACAATACAAATACATGTTTAAAAAGCGGTACAATTAACGCAGATCTATTTTCCGATTATCGTCTTGCATACGCTATTTTTAAAATTGATGCTTGTGTCAAAAAAGAAAGATTTGTAACTTTTAGGGATTTTAACCATTTAAATTTAGATACTTTTTTCGATATGATCCATTTACGATACCATGGGATCAAATTATTTACTTTAATGACATTGAAAGCAAAGTTCTGTTCTTAACAAGAAATATTTTAAACTTATTTAACGCTCATTGTCCATATCGCCAAATACGTGTTAGCAAAACCTATGCACCTTGGATGACACCAAATATTAAATTAATTCTTAAAGAACGGGACAAGGCCTTATTAGAATTTAAACGCAACAAATCTTCCGAATCTTGGAAAGAATATAAAAGGATGCGGAACTTTGTTCTTAATGCCGTTAGAAGCGAAAAATATTAGTAAACAAAATAAATATAAATTTTTCAAAACATTAAAGGATATGGGTATACAGAGTAATAAAGATAAATATATCCCCTCTAACTTAGCGGATCCTTACAAAATAAATGATACTCTTATTTCTATTTTTCAAAATAGTAATGAAACATGTGCTGAAAAAATATTACACTACACAACTACACTAGACAACCCCACAAAGGGACCCTCGAGCGCCCTCGGGGAAGTCTAATGCCAGAATTAAATTCGGCATTCCCTAAAACCCCCGAGTATCGATTTTGGAGTGATTTTCATAAAAACTGTCATTTCCTTCCCAATCACCCCCATAGAACGCCACAGAACCACCCCTGAGCGCCCCCGGGGAAGTCTAATGCCAGAATTGAATTTGGCATCCCCGAAAACCCCTGAGTAACGAGTTTAAAGCGCTTTCCATGGACTATGCAATTTCCCCGTCTTAATGACCCCAGGATACCCCCGCAGAGCCGCCCCCGAGTACCCCCGGATAATTCCAATGCCAGAATTAAATTCGGCATCCCTGCAAACCCCCTAGTAACAAGTTTGGAGCGATTTTCATGCACGTTGCCACTTCTCCCCCAATTCACCCTTTACGCACCCCCACAGAGTTATCCCTGGGTAGTTCTAATACCAGAATCGAGTTCGGCAGCCCTGAAAACCCCCCGAATAACAATTTCCGAGCGATTTTTCCAAGTTTCCAGTCGTTCCTATAATGGTGCAAGTAATGACGCAATTGGAAAATTCATTTTCCGGCCCAGAAGGCATTTTTCAAAAAATGGCTAAAGCAGACGATATAGACTTTTTTTCTGGGACCTTCCTGGATACAATGCAGAAAACCGCATCTCGATATCTGCTGTCCTTAAAAATTTTCGCTATTCCGTCGAATCTGATCTAAATGCCCTGGACTATAATAGCCTAAAACGAACATAACTTGTGCCGTCTCATCAAGGACTTGTTAGAACTCCTCATGGGACACCAAGGAACCCGTTAATGAATACACCACCTACAAGGCCAAATCAGCTGAAGATCCTTTCGTGGAACTCAGGAGGAATTCGGATAAATAAGAACCTTCTATTCGAATTAATCGACAGAGAGGACCTCGACGTTATAGCGCTACAGGAAACAAAGCTAACCGAGCGGCAAAACTTTAGTTATCCTGGCTATGACGTGTACAAGACCGATCTTAGAGGAAATTCAGGAGGCACTGCGATTCTTATTAAGCGGGAGATAGATCACTATCACACTCCCACGCCCGGAAGACTCCGGACAATGGAGGCTACTACGATCACTGTTAGAACTTCCCACGGAAATTTTAACATAGTGTCTGCCTACCTACGACCTAGAGACACGCTACATCACGAGGATTTAGACCTAGTGCTACCACCCTTCGAAGAAGGCCTCATAATCGGTGATTTGAACGCCAAATCCCCCGACTGGAACAGCAGAAGACGCAACCCCTCAGGACGGGCATTGGAAGCCTACCTGGCAGATAACCCAGGATGCGACGCCGGAGGTCCACTCGAGCCAACACACCACCCAACACGAGGACTGCCCGATGTGATTGACATTGCCATCGTGAGAGATTGCACATTTCCCCTGGAAATGTACTCTCTTAACGAGGGCTTCGGTGGACACAATCCCGTACTTCTTCACCTAGGTGAGGGAGAACGAGATAGCCCGCCGAAGATGGTGTCGAAAACAAATTGGACGCAGTTCAAAAGAATTCTAGGGGCAAATATCGGTAACGTACCGGTAATCGAAGACGAGGAGGCAGTGGACCGAGCGCTAGAGCACCTAGTGCATCACATACAACAAGCGCTGCAAACCAGCACGAGGGAAACCGAAATCACTAGGCCCAGCAGATTTAAAAACATCGGCCAGGACATTAAGGACCTTATAAGACTAAAAAGACAAGCACGCAGACGAGCCAACAGGACCAGACTCCCCCAAGACCGGATCTACGCGCAAAACCTCGCACTTAGACTGCGAGAAGAACTCAAGCAACATAGCGACGAACAGTGGAAAAACTTCCTAGACACTCTGAACCCGCAACAAAAGGGGCTCTGGAACCTGCAGAAAATCTTACGACGAGACAAACACACAAAAGTACCTACGCTCCACGGTACGCGAGGTCTCGCCCACACCGACGAGGACAAAGTCGAAGTATTCGCCACCTCCTTGGAGAACGAATGCCAAAACAATGAACACGACGATAAGGATATGGACTTTGCGGACGTAGTGGACGAACTATGGGAAAACAACTACCCAGAAGACGACGACGACGGACTAATTTTAACGCCGACATCTCCTGACGAGGTGATTGGCATTATTCGTTTTGTTTCAGCAAACAAAGCACCAGGATGTGACCACATTACAAACAGAGCACTGAAGCACTTACCTCAAAAGGCCATTGTCCACTTCACAGCGATCATAAACGGGATTTTAAGAAATCAGTACTTCCCACGACTCTGGAAAAGCGCTGAAGTGCTTATGTTTAGAAAACCGAATAAGGACCCCACCTTTCCGCAAAATTACCGCCCCATCAGCCTTCTACCCGCGATGAGCAAAATTTGCGAAAGGATTATACTCTACAGGCTAAAGGAAAAAACCGAGGATTTGAACATCATCCCCGCCGAGCAATTCGGATTCCGCGAAGGACACTCCACCGAACTTCAAGTCCTAAGGCTAGTAGAGCATATTACAAAGAAATTCAATCATCGACAATCGACAGGAGCTATATTCCTAGATGTCTCCAAGGCATTCGACAGAGTATGGCACGCCGGCCTGATTTACAAGATGAAGGATCTAGGATATACAACGGCTATGACGACGCTGCTCAAGTCGTACCTCAGCGAAAGAAATTTTCGGATTAAGATGGGACATGCCCTATCAAGATCTGGAGTTTTGGACGCAGGGGTGCCTCAAGGAGCGGTATTGTCACCGCT